CTGGAGAATGTTTCATGTACACTTGAAAAAAATTTGTTGTTGTACGGAGTATTCTGTTGGCTCTAACTGGCTTGAAATCCTTTATTTTCTGTTGATAATATATCTCAATACCCTATTCATAATTGGAAGTGGTGTATTAAAATCTCTGACTGTTTATCATATGAAAAAGACCCTTGCACATGCATGTTTATAGCAACACAATTCACAATTGCAAAAATATGGAACCAGCCCAAATGCCCAGCAATCAACGAGTAGATAAAATGTGGCATATGTATACCATGGAATACCACTTAGCCATGAAAAAGAATAAAATAATGACATTTGCAGCAAACTGGCTGGAATTAGAGACCATTATTCTAAGTTAAGTAACTCAGGAATGGAAAACCAAACATTGTATGTTCTCATTTATAAGTGGGAGCTAAGCTATGAAGACACAGAGGCATAAGAATGATATAGTGGACCTTGGGGACTCAGGGAGAGGGATAAAATAACTGCACACTGGGTACAGTGCGCACTGCCCGAGTGATGGGTGCACCAAAATCTCGGAAATTACCCTAAAGAACTTATCCATGTAACCACATACCACCTGTTCCTAAAAACCTATTGAAATAAAAAAAAGTAAAATAAAGTATGTGGGAGGATTAAAAAAAAAAAAAAAAAAAAAGAGGGTGATGTGCTCTGGTTCTGCGGGGAGTGGAGGGGGGAGGCATGAAAGCTCCACGTTAGGGACCCTCCCAGACCTCATCCTTACGTGTTTTTCTTTTTGGTTGGTCCTGATATTGTATCCTTTGTAATAAAACTGTAATTGTAAAAATCTAAATAAAATGTAATTTGTAAAAAAAAAAAAAAAAAAAAAGGAAAAAAGACGTTTTGGAATTCTGTCAGGCAATAAAAATAATCAGTATTTTCAGTGGAGGGCTTGTGTTTAGGAAAATAAATACATAGAATCTCCTACTGTTGTAACACTGTTTTTCCATTTAATTCTATCAGTGTTTGCTTCATATATATTGAACTTCTGTTCTATGGTGTATATGTTTATAATTGTTGTATCTTGAGAATTGGCCTTTTTATCAAAATATTTTGTCTTTGGTCTCCTAACAGTTTTTGACTTAAAAGTCTATTTTGTCTGATTTTCGTATAATTACCTTTGTTTTCTTTTGGTTACTATTTGTTTGGAATATCTTTTCCTGTCCTTTCACTCTCAACGTATTTTTAGACCAAAAGTGAATCTCTGATAGAAAGCATGTAGTTGAATTTTTAAAAAGTATTCTGCCAATCTTTTGATAAGAGAGTTTATTCTATTTGCATTTAATATACCAATAAGGAAGGACCTCTGCCATTTTGCTATTTATTTCCTGAAAGAGTTTTTGTTTCTGAATTCTTCCATTACTGCCTTCTTTTATGTTTAGGATTTTTCATAATAATATGCTTTGACTCTCTTCACATTTCCTTTTTTATCTATATTCTATAAATATTTCCTTTGTGATCTATTTCAGTAAATTCTGGTAGCTTTTAATCTTTCAAGGAAATTGTCCCTTTTATCTGGAAATATTTAGGCTGCTTGAAATATTAGGCTGCTTGAAGTTGTCCCACAGATGATTGATGGTCTCTCATTTTCTTTGAATCTTTTCTTTCTGCTTCCTTTTGGGTAGTTTCTATTGCTGTGTCATCACATTCACTGATGTTTTCCTCTGTAGCGTCTAATTTGCTGTTAATCCCATCCAGTGTATTTTTCATCTCAGACATTGCCAATTTTACCTTTTTTTTTTTTTTTTTTTTTTTGAGACAGGGTGTTGCTGTGTTATCCAGGCTAGAGTGCAGTAGCACAACCATTGCTCATTTCAGCCTCGACCTTTCAGGTTCAAGCCATCCTCGTACCTCAGCCTCCTGAGAAGCTGGGACTACAGGCACAAGCCACCATGCCTGGCTAATTTTAAAATTTTATTTTTGGCCAGGTGTGGTGGCTCACGCCTGTAATCCACTTTGGGAGGCCTAGGCGGGCGGATCACGAGGTCAGGAGATTGAGACCATCCTGGCTAACATGGTGAAGCCTTGTCTCTACTAAAAATACAAAAAATTAGTCAGGCGTGGTGGCGGGCGCTTGTAGTCCCAGCAGCTGGGGAGGCTGAGGCAGGAGAATGGCGTGACCCTGGGAGGCAGAGCTTGCTGTGAACCGAGATCGCTGCCACTACACTCCAGCCTGGGCGACACAGCAAGACTCTGTCTCAAAAAAGAAAAAAAAAAATTTATTATTTATTTTGTCAAGACAAAGTCTCGCTATTTTGCCAGGGTTGGTCTTGAACTCCTGGCCTCAAGCGATCCTCCCACCTCAGCCTCTCAAAGGGTTGGAATTATAGGCATGAGCCACTGTGCCCAGCCCATTTTCATCTTTAGAAAGTTCTATTTGATCTTTTTTTATGTCACTCATGTCTACTTAACTTTTTGAACATGTGGTGTATAGTTGTAACATCTGTGTCAGTACTGAGGTAGTTTTTAATTGATTGATTTTTCTCCTCTTGGACAAGACATACACTTCTGCTTCCATTAATATCTTCTGGTCTCCCATTCACATATATCTACTGTTGAATTCATATTTTCTTTGGCCTTTTTAATGAAGGTTGTTTTAGTTAAAACTAGATAATATAATTAATGGAACCTTTGAAATAAGCAGTAAGTGCCACATGAAAATTTACCAGTGTGCCCAAAAAAAGATTCTTGCCAAGAATAAAGATCATATTAAAAATGCAAACACAAATGGACAAGAAAAAGCTGAGATGACAGTTCTTCTGTTTCTGTTGTGAGCTCCATGTTATCCACATAAAGAGATTGAAAAGACAGTTTAATCAAATTTGGTAAGAAACTGGCAAAATCAAATCTCTCAAAAAGACTCCCACTGCTGGTACCAATTAAGGCAAATTATCAGCCACTTACAAAAGAGAAGCATGGTGAAGAAGCAGTTTTAGCATGTGAGAGCTGAACAGCTCAATTGCTGCATGTGAGATTCACTTGCTGCATGTGAGATTCACCAGAGGAACCTAGGGAAGATGACTGGGGACTTTAGGGGTCTGGATTTAGATTAGGTGCCCCTTCAGGCTACCTGTGTCTGTTAGCTTTGATGGCAGGACGACAGTGGGCAGTGTCTCCTGTGGATGGTATTGGTAAGTTTCAGATATAATATGTCAAAAGCATAACTTAGAGACATTGTTAGTTATTCACATGCAAATTATTCTTATGTCAGAGACAGTCATTAGAGTGTTGACAACAAACATGCAAAACCAGGAAATAAGAAAAGAAAGAGGAGATGGGGTATGGGTAGAAAACACATACATTCTGGAAGTGGTGGGTTTCTTTTCTTGGGTAAACAAATTAGCTGATAGTTAGGAAAGATGTTTGTCTGCTCTTGAACATGTACCTGGGATTATTAAGAAAAAAAAATTAGTTATTTATATACTTCCTGAAAAACCTGGAGAATTTAACTGTAGAGTGTGCATGACAGAGGCTGTCTCTGTGTAATGTCTGCCAGTGGCTATCATTTAGTACCTGCGCCAAGTCAGAACCATTTTCCTTTTCTGAATTTTCTCAGGTTTTGTGCTTTTTTTTTTCTTTTTTCTTTTTAAAAGCAATAGGAAGAAAATGTAGATAATTGCATGTTTATGTAGATGGTTCCACTTTTAAAATGGTATGGTAGCTTCTTTATTTAGACCTGGTAAATAAAAGATTATTTAGCATGTGGGATTTTTTGTTTGTTTGGCTGTGAAGAAATTTTATATTTAGGTTTTTCTTGGGCTGTGTAATCAGCACTGTGCTTTTACTAATGGTTGCCCGTCATTCTAGGCTTTATCAACTCCTTTATCACCCCAGCTCAAAACACCAAACTTAAAAAATATATATATTTGGTATACAGAAAGACCTGGCATAATGCACATTTTGAATGTGCATTTTTATTACCGAATTTGTATTTGTAATGGATCAACACAAGTCTTCCAAGAGTTACGAATATATTTCCATATTGGTGACAGGTGTTCTATTAAGCATTTAGTATGTGAGGGTGCTGTTCATCTTAGTTGGGGCTGTTCTGAATTAATTGTGACAAGCTAATAAGATCTTTTGAAAGTTTCTTTCCAAGCTTCTTGAGCTAATGTTTTCCCTCTGGCCAGTGGGGTAGACTGAACTCTTTAAAGACCTGTGGGCAGTTGCTGTTCATTTAAGCCAGATGGCATGTGTCAACTCCTTTTCCTGGAAAGGGAGAGGTTTCTTTTTTGGCTGCTGTAATAAAGCCTTGTGTGACTTCTTATGAAACTCTTTTCTTTACATAAATTAGTACTTACAGAAGCTTTTCATAGAACTTTGGGCACTCCTCTTTCACTTATGAAGATTCTTAGATGGTTGTATATAAATGTTTTCATGTATAAATTCTTTTATTGAAGTTGTGCTGTAGCAGGTTATCATTGATTAGGTTATCACATAAAAATAGTATTTTTTTAAGGATAAAAACAAAATAAAGAAATTATATGACAAAGAGTGAGGGACCCTTTTATATTTTTACTGGTTCCCCAAGCTGCTTACAGTCAACATCTGAGTTAGTGGTTGGCTGACAGTGGACAGCACTCTTAACGGTAGCATGTGGATGCTTAGGGAGCCCCTGGAAGCTGCCATGATCCACGGTCAGCCATGCATAATCTTCATGTGAGCACTGTAATTGCAGCTCTTGACTTTTAGCTCGTATAGTGAGTTATTACCTTAAACTGACTTTTGTTTTTCCTTTTTGGAAGAATGGAAGGTAGGTGAGTGAGTGAATTCTACAAGCATTTGATTTTTATTTATTTATCCTGATTAAATCCTAAGATCCTGGATTTTATCTCCACATCCAGAATTCTAAGAATTTGGGGTGTGAACTGGGCATGTGATAAAGGTGACTTTTCTGTTTTCTGGTTTTCTTGGTAATGGATGTTAAAAGTCTGTTTTACTGGGAGACTTATCAAAATTTTCATTTCTTTAAGGTGTTGACTTTAAGGTGAAAACAATTTCAGTGGATGGAAATAAGGCTAAACTTGCAATATGGGTAAGAGCTTTTAAAATGTATTTTGAAAATATTAAACTTTACTTTTTAAGGATGCAGAAATTGATTTGTGTAGTGTTCTAGAGGTGGTGAATGAACAATTTGTATTAAATAACTTTTGGGAGATTTGATACTGATTAAAGGATAAACAGTAATATAATTGGGTAATTAGGCAGCTATGTTTTGTTTAAATTTTTACAATGCATAATTCTTTACGAATATTTCAAAACAGAACAGAATGTTAAAAAATCATCTCATCTGCCAAAGAGAATCATAATTGGATATGTTTCTTTAAGTTTTAAAAAGACCGTCTAGACTGAACTAACACTAAAGGTAATTGTTAAGGGGAGGAGGAATGACGTGATGTTTAGGAAAAATTTTATTTTTCTTGTTTGTTAGTATAGATATTTATAAAATTTGAGGTTTCAAACTTTGGGCTTATTTTTAATGCCTCGTTTTTCCTTACTGACTTCTTTTCATTTTCCTGTGAATCCAACCATTCTGATCCCCATTGCTGTACTAGCTAGACCTCCTCATGCTAGTGTCAGATAAGGTAGCATTAACTGTCAAAAATATCCAAGATGCTTAGTGTCTATGTTTGTCTCTCTGTGTGTCTCCCTTTTATCAGTCTATTTACCCATCTACATACCGATCTATCTATATCTGTCTATCTAAATATGATCGGTACTATATATACATATGTTAATTCTAAATATATACTGTTTTATATATCTAATTTCCACATATGCTCTGATAATTATACATATATGTTTGTAACATAAGAAATCATATTAGAACTGATCAGCAGTCATCAAATCGAGACATATTTCCACAAGATGGTTAAATGGTAAATGCTGTTTGTACATCAGTCACAGATTGAAAACAGCAAGTGTTCATGCATTGTATGATGTCATATTTCTTGGCATTCTCTGAATGGCACACTGTTTCTAATACACATTTATCCCCAAATAACAAATAACTGTGTAAGTGTGTTTAATGTTTTTATGTCAGTTTTTCCTAACATACACTACTTTAAATTTGTTAACTTGTTTGCCCCTTTCCCGCAAATATATTTAATATCAATCAGAACAGTAATGTCTAACAGAGAACAATTTGGAAAATGTTGGACTAGACTATGGTAAAATGTGTTGAACGATGTAAGAATGCTGGCTTTTTCCATACTAAAGTAGGGGCCTGATTTCCATATGCTTTTCGTGGTTGATTTATTATCCCTTTCCGTCCTTGCTGCTGCTTTGTGAAATATATAGATTAGAGTAGTATCTGAGGCTTGCTGGTTGCAGTGAGATTTTTCTCTCATAGTTTCGTTTTGTTTTAAATTTACTTTCTAGTTCCTGCCTAATAAAAAGGCTGGCAGGTATTATTTAAGAGAATTTTTACCATAGGCCTATAAACATTCTTTAAAGAAGAGAGATTTTCCCCCTGGCTGTAAGAATAATACAGGGTCATTCTAAAAAGGATAATTGAGACAGTAAGACAGTAGTAGAGAAAAATGTCCATAAAAGTATACCACCGAGTACATTTTAGTGAGCATTCTTTAAAATATCTAGGGATATGTATACATACCACTATACCTACGAGTATGTGAGTTTTCCAAAACAAAGAGATTATATCTTACATTTTTAAACCTGTTTGTCCTCCTTTCCTACCACCTCACCCCCACACACAGTATGTGCTGTAGCCATTTAGATGGCCACCTAGTATTCCATTTCATAGCTGTACTTTAGTCAACCTTCAGTGAGAGATACTTACATTTTTGCCAGCTTTTCACAAAGATTAGAGCTCTTTGAGCATTCTGATTTATACGTCTGTGTGTACGTGTCCAGTTACTTTAAAATGTGTAGCTGGAAGTAGAAATAAATATGAAGTCTTAACATTAATGTACACCAAAAAGCCTTTTTTTCAGTTTATACTCCCACCAATTATATTTATATTCATTCTGCCACATCCTTATCTGTACTGTTATCATTCTTTGTTTTTGCCTCTGAGTGTTGCTGTTTTACTTATATTTGCATTTCTTTTGATAAGAGATTTTTGCCTATTTATTGATCATTTTAAAAAATAAGTTTTCTTTTACATATTTTACCCATTTTATATGTTAGCATTCATCTTTTTTGTCATTAAAGTCTTTATATAATAAAAGTATTAGCTCTTTGTCATGTGGTACAATTTTCTAATCTATCATTTGCCTTTAAAATCGTGTTTCAGTTGAATATATGTTTGTGTTCTTGTGTGTGTGTAATACTAACTGCCATATGTTACAGATTTTTTTTTTTCCAGTTTGTCATTTACCTTCCAATATTGTTAAGGATGAATATGGGGATGGGGAGGTGAAGAGGAGGTAAAGGATGTTCTTGTCATACCAAGGTTTTAATATTTATATGGTTAGATCAGCTATTTTCATCATGGCATTTGGGTGTAATGTATTTAGGAAGGCCTTTCCTCTCTATTAGAAATATATAAATCCATATTGCCTAATTCTTCTATAGTTTTATTTATAAAATAAAATGAGTTTCTCTCCTACTTGGAAGCTTTTTCTAGGATGAAATGGAATAGTTAAGCATAGCCCTGCCCCTCCTGCCTCCTGAAAGTGCATACGCACCATGACCTTGTTTTCTTCTACTGCCTTTTTCTATGTCCTTACTTCACTTTCACTCCCTCCATCTATTATTAAGCCTTTCTAGATCTTTCCTAGCCCTGAATTTCCTAGCCCTGATCTATATATCTTTCAGTAATTTCTTCTCTTCTTCCTCCATCAGAAAATAAAACCACAGGATAGAGACAAAAAGCTATACTTCATTTATCTTACAAAGATGTTATTATACCTACCACATATTCCTGTTTTGAAAACAAACACAAGCAACAATCTAACTTCTATTTAAGCGTATACACTTTATAGTTACTATAAATCCTGATCCAATGCTATTGCACATGGTTCCTTCCACCCTCTAAATTATAACACCTATTTAAACATTTTTATAAGTGAATCCAAAAATGGCAAGGCTCTAAACATCTGGCCTAATTATTAATAAATATTCACAAGCAAAGTTTCAAAGTCAAGTGTAGTATTTCAACATTAAAACTTTCTTGCTATGGTTTTTACTTTTAAAACATCGGGATTTATGGATATTTTAACTGGAATTGCAGTTCTGATTTTTATGTTGTGTTTCATTAAGGCAGTTTTTGAAGTTGATCTCAATGAAGACCAGAGAGAACAAATTTCATGTTCACTTGTTTTTCTGCCAGCTCTGGAACTTATGGACACAGTTTCCATATGCAAATAGAATAAACTTTTTTCCTGTTATCACAAAGTCTTGGGGCTAAAAATATTTCATACTTGGTCTTTGCCCCAAACTATTTGTTATGAATATAGAACAGTGTTCCATGTATGGAAAAATAGCTGCTGCTTAAATTTCCAAATTCACTAATTTGCTGTTCCAAACCCAAGGCTTGTCTTTTCAATAATGGCTTTTCCTTCCTTTTTTCTTTATTTCTCTCTAAAGAAGATAGTCTGTACCACTAAAAGTTAAATGCTTAACATGGTGCAGTTCTCGAAGTTATAATGTATCTGGATACTGAATAATTTGAATATTACTAATTTGTCATTTTTTGCATATAAGCAAATCGCCAGGATGCGTTCTCATAATGATTTGTCATTTTAAAATATACATTTTTTATTGAGTTTTTATGAATCAGATTGTGTGAAATAGGTACTAGTACAAGGCTATGAAGAGCATTTCTAGTTTCTTATTGTATATATTACCAATTGCTTCCTAAAAGCGGTGACACTTTTACTGATATACATAGTAATCATTTTACTATGATATGCATAGTAGTTATATCTTTTGGCTTCTAGTTGATTACTTTTTCTTTCCCTGCAAATTTGGGTTTTGATTACTTGAGCATAGTGATCAAAAAAGATCACTGGGCATCCATGTGCCATTTCATTAATGATTATTAGACTACAATATTGACTTGTCTCATGTTACCAAAGTTATAATCTGCTTTAGATAGCGGCAAGTTCACTTTGCTTTAAAGCAGCTTTTAATTCATATTATTGTTCTTGAAAAGTTGAGTAAATACGCAAATTGAATGATTTTAAAATCCAAAGCAGGTTTTGTAAGAAACTTAAGAGGCAGCAAGAAGTTTTGTAAAGAGAAAAATCATTTATTTTATAAATTTATCTGTTTAGAACATTTACTTTAAATCTGTTACTTCTTCACTTAAGCATGGCAGGGTGGGGATTAGTTTCTGTGGTGGTGAGAATCTGGAAGGAAAGGCATTCAAATTTATGTAAGTATATCTGTGGAAGAGTGCTGAATGTTCAAAGTGGTTTACATTGGAAAGTTACTTTCCTCTTAAGTTTCTCTTCTGGGGTTATAAATGACCGCAGATCCTCCCTACTGTGTTGCTGAATCCCCTCAAGCCCCTGGTTTGAATTCCTCTCCAATCTTATAAACCTCTTACAGGTTATTCTAGCACTTTTTATATGTAGAGGAGCTTCTGCTTGTCCCATAGAAAACCCTCATTTACAGCAGTGGGACTGGTAGCTAAGTTGAGGTTTGATACATGTGTTTACTTTTACTTTTCTTTAGGTTACTTTGCATCAGCAGACTGCAAACTTTTTCTTAAAGAGCCAGATAGGAAATAGTCCAATCCTGAAGTGGGCCATGTGGCAATACGTAAGCAAATAGGCCTGCTGTGTTTCAATAAAACTTTATTTAATAAAACAGGTGGTGGGCTGAGCTGCTTTGTATAATCTTAGGTACTTTGAATCCATAGTCCAAGGATAGTGGAAAGACAACAGAGAGAAGGAATTGGGCCCGGAGGTAAAGGCTTGTTAAATAGGTTCATTCTTTTTCTTTTTCTGTTTTTACTCAACAAATTCTGAGCAACTGTCTTTTTTCAAGAATTGCTCTCAGCACAACGGTTAAACTGGTGATTAAACAGATGAGTCCCTGCTTTATGAAATTTACATTTTCTACCTAGTGTACGTTGTTCATTAACCCTAACATGAGTCAGAAACAACATGTAATAAAGAATGGCTTGGTTATATGCATTCTCTCAAAAGGAGATACATAGAAAACACTTAAAAGAGCCCAACCTAAAAATCTGTTACCTAAAGTAATACGTCCCCATAATTTTCTTCAAATCAGTGGTTCTCAGCCTTGATTCTACATTAAAAGCACCTGGTAAGATTTTTTTTTTGAAAAATTCGTGTCATTACCTTAGACCGATTAAGCAGAAGTTTTTTGGAGGTTAGACTCAAGATTCCCAGAAAATTTCATTGTGCAACTGGAGTTTAGAACCATGGGTTTCATTTCATGTATGATAAAACTCTTAAATTCAAAACAGCAGAAAACCTTTACATAGTTTCATTTTTCTAGAGATCAGTAATTATAAGTAATTTTATTTTGTGACACTTGTCAGTAAGTGAACACATCTTATTTAAGTTCCAGTTTTTTAATGAGCTCATGCATTAATACTATTTTTAATAATGCTGTTTGACTTTCTACTCTTAAACTAGTATATTGAAGGTCTATTTATACTTTGTTTAATTTAATAATAATGATCATTTTTAGGATACTGCTGGTCAAGAGAGGTTTAGAACATTAACTCCCAGCTATTATAGAGGTGCACAGGGTGTTATATTAGGTAAGTGTTTACTTTAATTAATTTAAAAATATTTATTGGAGTTTCTGATTTTCCTAGTGTGTGAAAGTTAGTGTGTTTTTGTTTTACTTCTCATTAGAGCTACTTTTATGTAACTTGTAGTTGTATTAACTTCATGTAATATTAATGAATATTAAAACTTCTGATTTTAGTCTTTTGTCTAGCACTTAAAAAATAAAGACAAGACTATTTGGTTTGAAAACACATGTCAATGAGAACGTAATTGAGGATTAATCAGCGTATGTTCGACTGTCTTGGAGTATTACGGAAACTGGGCTTCAGTCATCAGCATATTAATATTTGCTGCAGTTTATAAAGGATGAAAAGTATTTGTTGATTAGTAGAACCTGCTTTATTAGTCCTAAAAATATCACAAAGCACTTAACGCTATTGATTTATAATCAAACAAAATTTACAAACCAAATGTGGCTTCTCAGTGTAATTTGTTGAAAAGTGCTTGTTTTTGATATTCCTGGGAAACAGTTTAAAATGAATATTGATGAATTGTATTAATAGGTAGAATTCTCTTTTTTTTAATATTATGACTTGATAGTGACAGCCTTTTGGTTCAGCATCTCTTGAGTTTGTAAAACACTTTAATAAGCTTTTTGTTGTAATGCAGAATGACATAAGATGAAAGTGATAACAGGAAGACCATTAGGAACGCATCCACTAACTGTACTACAATTTTTTCAAAGCTGTAAATTTTGGTTCTTGTAAGAAACAAATTAATGGGGTCATAGATGTTTACGTTCATGTATTTTCTTTTTTTTTTTTTTTGATATTTTGCCACAGATTCAAATCTAAATACTCTGGTTTTTGGCTAGACCTCATTCATCATTATGAATGGGAAGAGCTGTTATTTTGCTTTAATGGGTATTAAATGGGTTTTCACTTATTACACAGGATATAATTTCATTTCTGTGACAGTATATGTTAATAGGATTGAAATGTGTGTGTGTACTTTAAAACAAAACACTTGTTTCTTCCATTTGGATCAGTAGACACTCATTATTAATTGTTGGAGACAATAAAAAACAGACTTGCCTATATTGCTTAGTAATGCTAACTCCTAGCTACGTATCAGAAATATACCATTGCTTCTTTCTTTAATGCTTATTTAACAAATGACTCCTTTTATTTCAGTTTATGATGTCACAAGAAGAGACACATTTGTTAAACTGGATAATTGGTTAAATGAATTGGAAACATACTGTACAAGAAATGACATAGTAAACATGCTAGTTGGAAATAAAATCGATAAGGTAAGAAGGTAGACACTTGGCATTTTGGTTCTGTATTTTGGTAGCCTTTCTTAATCATTGCATTTATGTTTTAGGAAAATCGTGAAGTCGATAGAAATGAAGGCCTGAAATTTGCACGAAAGCATTCCATGTTATTTATAGGTAGGTGTGTGAGTGAGTATCTATCCTTTCATTATTAATGAGGAATTTTTAAATGGAATTTTTGCTAAGTTTATTCCTTTATGAACCATAAAATGTATTTATTGTTCCTAGTTGCCCTGTGTTACAAAATCTAACTATATAACAAGGTTCTTTATTCTTCTTTCTGTAAAATGTATGATCATATTATGTGAAATCACATTTTTAAAAAGTCAAATCATTCCTCACAGGATATAATGGCATTCAGTAAAGTTTGGCACCCAGTGCTAAAGTTGTGCCTTGCTGATCCATATGCTGATACCATCAGCACCACCTGGGAGCTTGTTAGCAGTGCTTCAGCTCAGGCCCTACCCCAGACTTTCTGAATTGGAATCTGCATTTTAACAAGCTCTTCCTATGGTTTATATGCACATTAATTTTTGAGAAACATGGTCCAGCAAGGGTTGCCAAACTACAGCCTGGTCCAAATCTGGCCTCACCATTTGTATTGGTACACAGCCATGTCCCTGTGTTTACATGTTGTCTGTGGCTGCTTTTGTGCCATATGGCAGATTTTAGTAGTTACAACAGAGGCCATATGGCCCACGAAGCCTAAATATTTACTATCTGGCCCTTTACAGAAAGAGTTTGCCAACCCCTCATCTAGAAAATTGGATGAGCCATATCAGAATCACCTGGGCCCTGTGCCTTATTACAGGTTTGAGAGGCAGTTTATTAAAAAGCACTCTAGTTGATTCTGATGTGAAGCCAGCTTTAGGAATTACTGATTTAACCATTCCATGGCATTAGAAACTACTAGGAATCTGCAAATGACGTTGAGAGGACTTCATATATAGATAGAAGCAGAGTGGAATTAGTGGAAAGTATTGAGATTTTCAGAAAGGAATTGAGTACTTTTACTTGCTGTATATCCCTGATTTCCATACATTAGTTTACCCAATATTTATTGAACACTCGAGATGTAACAGTGGACAAAACAGACAAACTTTCTGCCCACATGGAGCTTACATTCTAGTAAGGGAGACAGACTTAAATAAGTAAGTAGTGCTATGAAGGAAATAAAACATTATAAGGGGAGAGAGAACGACTGGAGTGGGGACTGATTAGGGAAAGTTCTTAGAGACTGTCCCATTTGAGCAGAAATCCCTCAGGTGAGGATCTAGAGCAAGCTTGTCCAGCCCACGGGCTGCATGTGGCCCAGGAGATGGCTTTGAATGTGACCCAACACAAATTTGTAAACTTTCTTAAAACATGAGATTTTGTGAGTTATTTTTTTAAGTTCCAGCTATCATTAGTGTTAGTGTATGTTATGTGTGGCCCAAGACTATTCTTCTAATGTGGCCCAGGGAAACCGAAAGACTGGACACTCCTAGTCTAGAGGGAGATCATCTCAGGCTGAGAGAAGAGCGAATATTTCCTGAGGTAGGAACCAGGCTAGTGTGTTAAAGGAACAGGAAGAAAGCGTGTGTACTGGAGCATAGTGTGTGTTAAGGAGAAGGCAGATGGTGAGAGATGCCATTCAAATGGTAAAGAGATGAATTGTGTTCCAGTTGTGGTGGAAAGCAGGGAAGCAGCGTGTGACCTGATACTCTAAAAAGATCCTGTTGTGTAGAAAATGGACTAGGGGAAACAGAAGCAAGAGACTAGTTCTTCTCTTGCGGTGGCTCAGATGAAGGAAGCAGTGGTTTGACTATGTAGCAGTAGAGGGTGGTGGAAAACTGGCAGTTCTGGGAGGTACAGTGAAGGTACAGCTGACAGAATTTGTGGGTGGATTGGGTATGGAGGATAAGAAAAGAGAGCAATCAGGCGGGCACGGTGGCTCATGCCTGTAATCCCAGCACTTTGGGAGGCCGAGGCAGGTGGATTACGAGGTCAGGAGATCGAGACCATCCTGGCTAACATGGTGAAACCTGGTCGCTACTAAAAATACAAAAAATTCACTGGGAGTGGTGGCGGGCGCCTGTAGTCCCAGCTACTGGGGAGGCTGAGGCAGGAGAATCACTTGAACCTGGGAGGCATAGCTTGCAGTGAGCAAGATTGGGCCACTGCAGTCCAGCCTGGGTGACAGAGCGAGACTTTGTCTCAAAAAAGAAAAGAAAAAAAAAAAAAGGAAAAAGAAAAGAGAGCAATCAGAGATAACTCCGGGTTTTAGGCATGAGCAGTGAGGTAGATTGTGCTGCCAATAATTGGGATGTGAAAGATTGAGATAAGAGCAAGTTTACAGTAGGGAAGTGAGAAATCAAGAATTTCACTTTGACATAAGAATGAGACATTTTTCTGATAACCGGTGGACGTGGTGGTCATTGGCATTTAGGTGGCATTTAAGATCACGTGATTAGATTGGTGACTTCAGGAAAGAATGTGGATAGAAAAGGGCTGAAGAAGCCTGGGCAACCTAGTGAGACCTCATCTCCAAATAAAATCAGCTGTGTGTGGTGGCATGTGCCTGTGATTCCAGTTGCTCTGGAGGCTGAGGTGGGAGGATCACTTGAGCCTGGGAGTCCAGGGCTATAGTGGAGCTCCCACTGCACTCCAGCCTAGGTGACAGAGTGAGACCCTGTCTCGGAAACGAAACAAAACGAAACAAAGAAAATGGCAGAAGATTGAACCCTGGGGGACTCCAGCAATTAGAGGTCCACAGAAAGAGGAAGTGCCAGCGAATAAGTCTGCACATGACATGCCAATGAGATAGAGGATTTTCAGGATGTTCAGTGTCCTGGAAGTCAAGGGAACAACTTGTTTAAAAGAAGAAGTGATTAGCAGTATCAAATACCAAAGATGTCGAATCAAATTAGGATGTTGGATTTGACAAGATAAAGGGTGTTGTGGTCTTGGAAAAGAATGATTTCAGTGGAGTGGTGGGAATGAAAGCCTAATTAGAGTAGTTTGAAGAAAGAATGTGAGATAAGAAGGTAGAAACAGCTTACGTGGATAACTCTTTAGAAGAGGTTTCAAAGAGAGTAGAGAAATGGGTGGCTATAAGAAGGGCATGTGGCGTAGAGAGCAAGTTTGTTTTTTAATAGGATGGAAAATAATTTGGCAGACTTTTAGGCTGATTGGTATGATCCAATAGAGAGAGTGTTTGATCCTTCAGTGAATGAGAAGGGGTGGGACTCCAGGAACAAGAGAAGGCGATGGCTTGGATAGCAGCAGGGACAGTTCATCCGTTCTCACAGAAGGGAAGGCAGAGCATGAGGATACATATGCAGGTAACTTGGTAAATTTATTAGTGGGATGATCAGGTAGTTCTTGCCAGATTGCTTCTGATTTTCTCAGCATAATGCAGCTAGATTATTAGCTGTGATAGAGTTTTGAGAGGCAGGAATAAAGTCATCATCTCAGACAGAAAGATCACCACTAAGGAAATGTAGGGTTGGAAGCAGTGCTGAGTGTCCACTTGAGTTTCATGAGCAAACATTTGCTGTGGGACCAGTTTTCATGGTGGTTTGTCATTTTGTCCAGCTACCTGGAGCTGCCTGATTATTAACAGAATAATCAGGTTAATTCTATAACTTGTATGAATTTCCTTATTTTAAAATAGGAATAATATCTGCCTTGGGAGCAAGTTGTAAGAATTAACTGAAAGCTTAAGGAAAAAACTTTCACATGCTAGTTAAGTAGGGCTTTACAAGTTATACTTCTATCACAGTTTTAAGATTATAAACCAGTATTTTTTTGGTATAAATTTATACACTAGTATTCTTATGGATAGAATTTAAGTAACTCAGTTTTGAGATTTGGAAATTCAGTAGTTGTTGACTGTGGGGAAAAATTGCTGATTTGGATCTTAATGTATTATAGGCTGATATTTATGCCCTGATCGTTTCCCAGAAAAACATGAGAATATGGCCAGAAAGGAATATACTATGAATGACCTTTTTCCTTGAATTTCAGAGGCAAGTGCAAAAACCTGTGATGGTGTACAATGTGCCTTTGAAGAACTTGTTGAAAAGATCATTCAGACCCCTGGACTGTGGGAAAGTGAGAACCAGAATAAAGGAGTCAAACTGTCACACAGGGAAGAAGGCCAAGGAGGAGGAGCCTGTGGTGGTTATTGTTCTGTGTTATAAACTCTGGGAAATTCCATCTCTTGTGTATTTGATCAGATAGTGACATCTTTCTGTATATAAACTCTTTAACTGCTATTTTAGGGACCTTGCAGTTTGCACATAATTGTTTTATATCATAGCAGTAAATATTTGCAAGAAATCCCACTCATTGACCCCGGGTAAAATGTTATGGTACGCATGCACAGTTTGCAGTCTACAGTTTTTTTATGTAGCACAAAATAGGTGTACCTTTATAAGTACATTCAATTTTATGATTTACATTTATCATGTAATTTTTAAAAAAAATCCACCTATCTAGTATATGTTGATACAAAGTCTGCTTTTGCTATTCTTTTTGCTTAAATACTCCTATCATTTTCTGAATTACTTGGTATGTAGAACTCCTAGGCCCACGGAGAAGAATAGAGGTATCATCAAACGTGGCAAATTTTCTTTCAGGAATAATAAAGAGCATGATTCCACAGCTTTTCTAGGATGTTTGAGATTCTTTTTTAGTACGAAGCAAAATTCTCATTACAGAATGTAGCCCAGGCCAATTTATAACTAAATCTCTATTTGTTCTGATGATGCTTCTAAAACAGCATTGATAGGTTAAAGAAGCTTGGTACTTTTAATTTACTTCAATGATTAGCTCAGTTGCTTAACTGGAGTTTTAATCCTGTGATATGTACATTGGATTCATGACTCTGTGCAGCATTTTTAGTTATGTGGTGTTTGGCAGAATGACAATAAGGTTTTCCCCCATTTTGGTTTCAGGAGGACATGAATAGTGTGTTTATTGTGACTCCTCGTACTAACCACTTTTAAAACCAACATCTTTTTTCATAAATGTTGGTAGTATTTGTCCAGGTACCTCAATTGTAGCTTGTGTAATGTTGATGAATATCTGTATCTTATGGCTTCCATAATGGCTAGTTGACGTTGAAAAACCTATTTCTGTGTTTTGAGGAGTGGGGAAGAAAAACACTGAGTGAAAATTTGAGAAAGGCATATTACTTTCAGATTCTGATGTGTGAGGGAAAATACTGTCACAATGAAAATCTTGACAATTTACTTAACAAGTAACCAATAGTTCATCAAAACCAACTTGTACAGACTAATACATCTTTTTCATAGTATTCAGTTTTCTCACCTCTTGCTATTGTATATTGTAGATTTTTTTCACTCATGTGTTATTTAATTTACACTGATCTCTGCTATTTTAACCCCCCAAATAAGTTATTTGTCCTTTAAGGTTGGTTACTATAATACCCCTTAGTAAGATTCCAGTATTAATTTCTGGGCAGTTTGTTCTCTGTATACGATTGCAAATGATAAGCATTTTTGTGAGTGACCACCTTTGCAATATGTTTGTTAATTTACTTCATGTTGGGTTCTTTCTGAAATGTACATCTTTACGTATAAAAACCTCACATTTATTTGATTTACACTTCCTAGTCTACATTACATGTGGTTGAAGGTTTTATACATTCTATATGCTTTTACTAAATATACAAGATTTACTACTAGAAATTTGGAGAAAGAACACTAACACAGGTACTTGTGATTTGTTCATGTTATATTAAAACTTGAGATTTGTGTATTTATGTAGAGTCTGTATTGACAAGACTGTTGTTTTTTGCTCCTTGAGCTATATAATCATCTGTGTATTGGATTGTTGTCTTGATTTGGTCTAAATTTGAATATATACAAGTTACTTGAATATAACAAAAATGAATTTTGTTTGATAGATTTATATTGTAACCTTTTTCTAGTTCTTGAATAAATATAGCCTACCTTCCCTAGATGCATTTGTGCAGGAAGTATATACATTTCCCTATTACTCTCATCAGCTGAGGAATATGTACTATGGTGTTACTGATATTATGTGGCTTTCATTTTATTATTTTGTTGCACGCTTAGTGTTTTGTAGTGGAGGTTTTGTAAGTGACAACAGTTGTAATATCTAAAGTCAGGCACCTAGTAGCAGGGTTTTGTTAATTCTTTTCAGAATCATTGAAGCAGTCTTAAAGGGTCTTTTGCAGATGGTACAAATTAGAACAATTAGAATGTAGTATTTTGAGTTCTGGGAGTACTGAGATTGACCCAAACAAATAAAGAACTATTCAATTTCTGAGTAACAGTTAACATTTGTTGAAAGCTTCCTTGGTGCCAGGTGCCATTCTAAGTGCTGAATTATCTCATTAAACCTCACAGCAACCTTAATAGATTATCCTATTATGCCCATTTTAAAGGTGAGGACAACACTATGTAGGTATGTTGGGTAACCCCCAAAGATCACATAGCTACTTGGTCATTGAGCTGGATTCCAGTCATGGCATTTTTACGCCTGAGCCCATACTCTTCACCATCACTCGTTTTACAATGGGTGGTTACCAGCTTTTTGTAACACAACTGAGTTAAGGCAGGTCCACTATTTCTTTATCACTCTTTTGTTATATGTAATAGAAGTATTTCAGACTTTTTGGTTATAGAGTAAATCCCATGATGTAAACCTACCTCATAAGTCATGTGACATAAAAGTTAAGGTAGTGGAGTAGGTGATCTTATTTCTTTCATCTGCTCAGAGTGGAATGAAAATCCTGACTTAGAAAAGGTGCAAAGTTAGGGACTTATGGTACATTCACTTTCTATGTGAGAACAGAAAGTATGGAAACAGTAATTTGCTCAAAACTGAAATCTGGGGGTGATGTTTTCATTTCATGTATTTGATGGCCATCCACAAACTCATACTTGGTGTTGACATTCTAGTTGAGTGTTGTGGAAATAGACTTGATTTTGATTCATTGTAGTTTGCATAGTCAAGAAATAGACATGATTCTCTACTAAGGGTGGGACTAGCACCATAGCTCATGAAAGAATCCTTCTTACACCAGTACTTGTTCTGCCTGTGAGTTGGCACAGACTTACGCAATATTCATAGTCTATCTTTAAGTACAACTTAATGCATATTTTTTCTGTGTATTTTTTTCAAATGAACTCAACAATTCTTCATGTATTACAGATCAGAGATCCTCTCCATATTCAAGCATTATGCTTCTATTTCTTGGAGGTACATTTCACCAGTGATACTTAGGAAGTTATTTTGTCTTTCCTGTATTTCCCTAGTTAGGTATAGGAGTAAAAACATTATTCAGTTTTCAGAAGACATTGTTCTGACTCCGACCCTGCCTTGTATACTCGACTATATAGACTTCACCCTGGGTTTTGCCTAAACTATTGAAAGACGAGAATAAATAGACATAGATAGGCTAGCTAAGTCAAGACTAGGGACTAAGGAATATAGACTCACCCAGGTTTTTTTTTTTTTTTTTTTTTTTTTTTTGATTTTTCTCTCCCCAAATGGGAACATCTATCATGCTGGAGGACTGCTGTGATGGGGCTTTACATTTTACTGTTTTGTTGCTAGCTTATTGTTTCATATTTAGGAATCAGTCATGTTTCTGATTGTGGTATAAAGTTTGCTTAAGTGCCCCATAGTTAAAGCTATTCCATGTACGCAAACACACACACATATTTTGAATAGTCATGTGAGTGCCTGTTCTCAGTCTTGCCCCCTTTACCATTTCTCATACATATACAAGTTATTTATTGTTTATTTTTTTCCTCTTTTTTGACCGGAGAAGCAACAAATTACATAGTTTTATTTGTGTTTCTTTGATTACTAGTGAGCTTGAGTACTTTTAATATTTTATTGGATATGTTTGTGACCGACTTTAATTTCTTGTTCGTGTGTGCTGTGGCTGCCCAATCCAGCACCTACTTCCTTCTCTCACCATACCCCCCCCCCAACCCCTGCAAAGAATCATGCATGTGGTTTGGGTGGCATTGTCACACCCTCGGCTTTCTAGATTAACCCAGTTACCTTTAAGCAGTGCCCCACTTCCCAGTAGCAATGGTTCAGGGGTAGGCACCTGACCCAGACCAGACCACTGAGATAAAGATGTTTGCCTAGGCTTTTTCAGGAGCTATTGAAGACATCTCCTTGGAGATAGTGTGCTGGGAGGAGTCACATTCTGAACTTGCTGCAGCTCATTTTTCTAATATAAAGGAACCAGCCTGAGGCAGTACCAAGAGAATGAGAGGGAGTCTGTTGGAGCCCTTGGGGACTTCTGGATCAAATTGGACCTGAATTGAGATCTATTTCTCAACTTTCACTTATGTGAGCCAATAAATTCCTTTTTTGTTGAAGGCAATTTGACTTGGATTTTCTTTTTTCTTGCAACCAAATATATGTTGTGTGAGAATGTGTGTGTTTTTCTTATTTACAGAGGTACTTGTACATCAGGTTAGTTACATCAATAATAGATTGATTATTTGCATAAGAAAGAAAAATAAACCACTTGAAAAGCCACTACTCTTAAATAACTATTAACATTTTAGTGAGATTCCTTTTACATATTTCTTTATGGATATATACATAGAAAACTGTAAATGAGTTAACTTCATACATGCTATTTTAAGGACCTCTTGATTTATATGATGTGGTTTCTTTTCATTTCCTCTGTCACCCGAGCACGCCCTCTCATTCCTCTCCTCCCTGAGGTATCTGTTGCATCCTAGCACATGTGCTTTTTCTGCATTTCTTGATGTTTATATTCATATGCAAATACATATAGATACATATATATTTATATATAGTTACAATTTTCTTTACATTTAAATATATATTATAAATTGGAACCATCTGTATATTCATCTCTGCATGTTGTTTTTCTTTGTTTTTTTCTTTATTTTTTAGAGACAGGCATTCGCTGTCTCCCAGGCAGGAGTGCAGTGGCATGATCACAGCTCACTGCAGCCTCGACCTTCCAGACCCAAATGATGTTCTCACCTCAGCATCCCGAGTAGCTGGACTACAGTGTGCACCACCATGCCTGGATAATTTTTTTAAACATCTTTTTGTACAGACAAGGTCTCCCTGTGTTGCCCAGGCTGGTCTCGAGCTCCTGGGCTTAAGCTATCCTGCCTTGGCCTCCTAAAGTGCTGGGATTACAGGCATGAGTCACTGCGCCTGGCTGCCTTTCTTTCCTAACAGTAGATTGTGAAAATCCCTCCAAGCCAATTTCTGTACATCTAAGATCCATTTCAGTGATGGTACAGTATTAAAATTCGAATGTGTCGGATACCACAATTTGTTCAACTATTCCTCTAGTAATGGGCAATTATCTTGTTTCTATTTTTTTGCTACTGTAGATAGTACCATGATAAATATCCTTGTACATATTTCCTTTTGTTAGATATCTATGAGTTGGATCCATAGATCAGACAATGCATTTTTTAAGTGTTGACATATTTTGTCAATAGCTTCCCAAAGTCTATAATCTTTTACATTTCCACTAGTGTAATACCTATGAACATACCACTTTCCCTCTTTCCTACATTCCCCATCAGCCCTGAGGTGTTACCACGTTTTAGTTACTTTGATACTTATAAGGTGTAATTTTTTTTCAACTTTTATTTTAGAGTCAGGAGTACCTATACATGTTTGTTATAAAGGTATATTGTGTGATGCTGAGGTTTGGAATACAAATGAATCTTTCCCAGATAGTGAGTGTATATATATATTTTTGAGATAGAGTCTGACTCTGTCACCCAGGCTGGAGTGCAGTGGCGTGATCTCAGCTTACTGCAACCTCTGCATCCCGGGTTCAAACGATTCTTCTGCCTCAGCCTCCCGAGTAGCTGGGATTACAGGCATGTGCCACTATGCCTGACTGATTTTTATATTTTTAGTAGAGATGGGGTTTCACCATGTTGGCCAGGCTAATCTTGAACTCCTGACCTCAGGTGATCCGCCCCCCCTCGGCCTCCCAAAGTGCTGGGATTATAAGCAGGTGTAACTTCTGAGGTGTAACTTAGTTTGCATTTTCTGCAGTCGTTTTCATGTTTGTGGGCTTTTTTTTTGAAGTGATTATTTATATCCTTTGCCAGTTTTTCTGTTCAGTTTTTTTGTGGTTTTATTATATGAGTTCTTTGTATACTACAGATATTAATCCAAATGTGTATGTTATAAGGATTTTTTTTCTAACAGCCTTTTAAATTTTTGTTTATGCTATATTTTCCTTACAATTTTTTAAAAAATGTTTTATCACTTCTGGGCTCCTCAACTCTTAGATTTGACATAGTTTCCTTAACCTCCTCTGAGATTTTTATTTTATTTTTTCTTTTAAAATCTTGAATAATTTGAAATTCACTTGTTTATGGCACAAGATAAGGAGCCATCTCATTCTTCTTCATACATGTAGCCTGTTGTTCTGCACAAAACATGAAATAAACCTGCCTTTTCCTACTGAGCCGAAGTACCGCTATTGCCCTAGATGAAATTCCCATAAGTACTGTAATCTACTTTGACCTTCTATTTTAGGGGCTCTTAACCTTGAAAAGTAATGTATTTTAGTATAATTGGTTTTTCTTTAATTCTGTGTATTTTATGTTTTAAAAAACCTTCTTAAAATAGCTCTGCAGGTTTCATCAGACTGCCACAGGGGTTTGGTAAAGCAAAAGTCTTGATGGTGGCTTTAGATAACAGAAAACATAGTATATGGCTTGTAAGGCACATTCTTCTATGTGCTTATATTTTTTTCTTCACATGTGAATCTTCAAATGATCCCTTACCCATTTTTCCTTTTGGTAGGTCCTTTAAAAAATATTCATATGAAGGAGGTTTATTTCTTTTAATGGAATATGGTTACTAATCTTTTGTCATTAATATTTATTGCTGACATCTTCACCCAGTGACTTGTCTTTTGAATTTGCTTGAAGTTTTACATCCTTAAAAGTTTTAAAAACCAAAAATTTAATTCTTAATTAGTTTTTAGAATTCTAATTGGGATCACATGATATTCCTGCATTCATTGTGAGAAAACTGATAATTTAGTTACAAGACTTGCCATGAGGATACATGGGGTATCTTTCTGTATTCAGATTCTATAGTTTTTAGTAGTTTATGGTTTGCTTCACATAGGACCTATACCTTCTTTATTAAAGTTATTCCTATGAATTTCATTTTGTCAGTGTGAATGGAACATAGGTTTTCTTCGTTTCGGAAATCTGTGTAGTTGTCACTAATAAAAGCTATAGACTTTTCTAAGTTTATTGAGACACCTAATTAATTTCTTTCATTTGGCACTTAGGTTTAACTAGGATTTCTTTCATTTTCTAGGCAAAAATAGGAAAAATGTAATTTGTAATTTTTCAGTGTTTATTGCCTTAGATGAAATTCCCATAAGTATTGTAATCTATTTTGATTATATAAGGCTATGTCTTGATGGGTTTTAATAAATATATGCACTTGTATAAATACTATCACAATCAAGGCCGGGTGTGGCTCATGGCTGTAATCCCAGCACTTTGGGAGACTGAGGCAGGAAGATTGCTTGAACTCAAGAGTTCAAGACAAGCTTGGGCAACATAATGGGATCTCTTCTCTATAAAAAACTTAAAAAAAAAAAAAAAATAGCCAGGCATATTGTGGTGCAGCTATGGTTTCCACTACTCCAGAGGCTGAGGTGGGAGGATCATTTGAGCAATCCAGGTCAAGGCTGCAGTGAGCCGTGATTGTGCCACTGCACTCCAGCCTGGCAAGAGTGAGACCCTTCCTCCCCACTCCCGAAAGAACCACTATCAGTTAAGATACAGAATATTCACATTACCAGAAAATTTCCTTGTGATTATGTTTGGACTCCTTCCTCCCACCTCTACTATACCTGACACTGATCAGGGCTTTCGTGGCCACCCCAAGGCAGGTTGGCTCTCATCACTCTGCAGTCTCTACCTACGTGTTCTAGACTTCCTTTTTTTCTTCCTTTATTTATTAGAGGCCTCTATCTTGCATAAATCTGTAGAAATATATCATAGGATAATATTCTTCGCTGCCTTCACTATTTTATTTTTACTTAGGATCTCACCCTGTTGCCCAGGCTGGAGTGCAGTGCTGCCGTCATAGCTCACTACAGCTTCCTGGGCTCATGCAATCATCCCATCTCAACCTCCCAAGTAGTGGGGACTACAGGTAGGCACTACCATGCCCTGCAAATTTTCTACTTTTTGGAGAGAGAGAGTCTCTATGTTGCCCGGGCTGGTCTTGACCTCCTGGGCGCAGGTGATCCTTCTGCCTCAGCCCTTTACTATTAAGATTTGTTCTTGGCCGGGCATAATGGTTCACGCCTGTAATTCCAGCACTTTGAGAGGCCAAGGTGGGCAGTTCACTTGAGGTCAGGAGTCCGAGAGCATTCTGACCAACACGGTGAAACCCCGTCTCTACTAAAAATGCAAAAATTAGCCAAGCATGCTGGTGGTCGCCTGTAGTCCCAGCTACTCAGGAGGCAGGAGAATCACTTGAACCAGGAGGCAGAGGTTGTAGTGAGCCGAGATTGTGCCACTGCACTCCAGCCTGGGCGACAGAGCAAGACTCCATCACAAAAACAACAACAACAAAGATTTGTTCTTTTCCTTAATTTTTTTCTTTTCTTTTCTTTTCTTTCTTTCTTTCTTTTTTTTTTTTTTTTTTTTTGAGATAGAGTCTCGTTCTGTTGCCCAGGCTGGAGCGCAGTGGCGCAATCTCGGCTCACTGCAAGCTCCGCCTCCCGGGTTCACGCCATTCTTCTGCCTCAGCCTCCCAAGTAGCTGGGACTACAGGTGCCCCCCACCAGTCCTGGCTAATTTTTTGTATTTTTAGTAGAGACGGGGTTTCACCATGTTAGCCAAGATGGTCTCGATCTCCTGACCTCGTGATCCGCCCGCCTCGGCCTCCCAAAGTTCTTTAATGTTTAAAATATATTTTTAATATATTCTCAGGGAGGGCATAAGAACCAGCTCCTGTCCTTGTCCGAGACAGAGCATTTGTTCTTGGCCGGATGCAATGGTTCAGAACAGTCATTTGGCTGTTTTTTTTTTGTTTTGTGGAGATGAGGATTTCACTGTGTTGCTCAGGTTGGTCTTGAACTCCCGAGCTCAAGTGATTCACTGCCTTGGCCTCCCAAAGTGCTAGGATTACAGATGTGAGCCACTGCACCTGGCCAATCATTTGTTTTTTAACTCTTAATTATTTCACTTTTGTGCAGATGACATTGTTAATCCTTTATGTCTTCTGTATTTCCCTTTTAGTCAAGAAGGCATCCCCATCCCAAGGTTATACAGCCATTCTCAAACATTTTTTTCCTACTATTTTCATAGTTTTGTTGTTTGCTTATTT